GCCTCGTGGTGGTGGTTCATCTTGATTTTGATTTTAACGGTGTCTCCATAAGAGAGTAGTTTAAATTTTATTTTTATTTTTCTGGCTACTACTTGAGATGAGTTGAGTTTTGGCTTTTTTTGGTTGGTCGGTTTAGATTTTTATTTTCTTGCACTTCTTTGTATTTTTGCCTCGTTTTTTGTTTTAATTCTTCAATATTTCTTTGGGTACTTTCTTCATAGACATTCAAGTTCATAAGAATGTCCATTATAAAGTTGTGTTCTTTATGGAAAGATGTTCTTAGGTTCGTAGTCAAATGTGTTGCATCAGATTCAAAACTCAGCAGGACAAGTACTCTAGACCGGTTTATCTATATCGTTCACGAACCGGAAAACATATAACTGAAGAGCATAATTTCAGTCTTGAAGTAAACCAAAAGCGGAAAACTTAAGCGGTAGAGCTGTAGAGAGCAGAGCTTTTAAAACCACTTTTAATAGCATAATTTCAGTTTTTAAGTAACAAGCAAAAAGAACAGAAAACACAAAATACGAGTACAAAATTGAATAAATTTCCCATCTTTCATGTGGAAAACTTGAAACCAAAAGTTTGGTAAGTTAATCAGAAAACAATACCAAAAAAAAAGCAGATCATTTTTTTTATCGTTTGAACTTCTTGGAAGCTTTCTGATTGTCTCTGTTACCTCCTTTCTTATTATTGTCTTTGTTATTTCCCAAGAATCTCTCACTTTCTTCATCATCTTCTCCCCTTCTCTTCTTCCTACCTCCTGATTCTTTCATATTCTACAACAAAAATAATACACAAGTCAATTCTCTATAAATCCAAGTTAAGCAAAACCAGTTAGTCTATTGACAGTGCAGAGTAAAAATACCATTGCGGATAATTTTTTTGCTTCTGCAACTCTCTCCTGCAATGACAAGACTTCGTCTTCCTCAGCTGGATATTCTGGTAGTTTCTTGCCTATATGTCAAAACATAGTCAGATGTCTGTATCCTCCTTTGAGAGAACAAAAACAAAATGTATTTCAGATTTTTTTACTTACCTATGAGTTTTTCAATTTGTAAGTACCATTCGAGCTCATACTGGTTTACAAGTGATATCCCGACACCAGAACGTCCAGCACGAGCTGTTCTTCCCACTCTGTGAATGTAATCCTATGACCCAAATTTGGAAGGTCAATGTGTGTTCTCAAAGTTAATTAAATTAATTCATCAGAAGAAAAAGAGGCCTACCTTTGAATTTGTTGGAATGTCGTAATTGATAACCACGTCAACTGATGGTATATCTAGCCCTCTACTAGCAACATCGGTGCAAACCAAGATGTTACATTCCCCTGCTTTGAACTTATTCAAGGCTCCTAGTCTCTTTGTCTATAAATAGATTGAAAAGAATGAGACAAATATGAAGAGAATGAGTCATGAAATGTTTACAGATTGAAATGCATCATTTACCTGAGTCATTTGACCACTGATAGGAATGGCTCTAAAACCAAGGCTCCGAAGCACCAACGCCAGAAAACGAGTACCATCACACGTTCGAGTAAAAATCATTGATGTTGATTCAGGCATTTCACTCAGAATGTATACAAGATAGCAATCCTGTTACGGTGATAAAAAGCTCATTATAGTCAAAGAAGATAAAACTCTCTACTGTGTTTGTTACTATCTATCTACCAAGATTTTGTGATCAATATAAGGTACCTTGTATTTAGCGGCAACAAACCGATACTGCTGTTTTAGAGTATCGACTGTGGAATATTTAGAGGCAGCTTCAATCTGGAGGAAAGCAACGAACATACAACTGTTATACCTCGAACTACGATAGCTATGACGAGAAATTATTTAAAGTTAGTTTAGTGTTTACATACCTTCACAGGATTCCTCAAACATGCCCTTTGAAGTTTACGAACCTACAAGGCCAAAGAAAATTCAGTGACTTTAATCAGTTGATCCCCCCCCCCCCAACAAATATTAAATAGAGACATTTTGTAGATTGATCAAGATCAAACATTGTCAACCAAGGCTCCTACCTTTTTAGTCATAGTTGCTGAAAAAAGAAATGTTTTACGGTCATGAGGGATCTCTTCCAATATCTGGTTAAGAGACTTCTCAAAATCTTCATTCAGCAGTCTGTCAGCTTCATCAAGAACCTGTTGAATAATGAAAAACATAAAAAGGATATGAACTAAGAACAGACTATACCAAACGAGAAAAAATCAACAAAGAGAGGGTTTAAACTTACCAGATATTTCAATGTTTTCAGAGAAAATCCTTTTGTGTCAGACATGTGATCCCAAAGACGACCAGGTGTTGCAACCTATGAAACAACATTGCAAACTTAGCGACTATATTCACTCACGATAAGTGCAGAGGCTCAAACAAACAACGCTTAGACGAGAACAGAAAACACTTCAAGAAGTAAACATACAATAACATGAGGCCGTTTCCCAAGAGCAATAGTTTGTTGCATCCTGTCTATACCTCCAACAAGCTGGAAAAAATCAGGAAAAACAATGTTACGTTTAAATCCATCCAATTATTGTTGTAGCAGAAAGATGTCAATCATGTTAACGCATCGGCTTACCACAGCACACCTAAGACTAATATCAGATCCTAGAGCTTCAAATTGTTCAGCAATCTGGATTGCAAGCTCTCTGGAGAGCAGGAAACAGAACAGCCAATCCCAATAAGAATGACAACATAAAAGACATCACAAGTAACGGCTAGAAGAAACTCGGTGATCGAATCATACCGAGTTGGAGATAAAACACAGGCAAAGAAGGCAGGATCAGGTCTACGTCCTTTCTTTGGCTCAGAATCATACACATACTCAAGAAGTGCTTGCAAGATAGGCAAAGCGAAGGCTCCAGTTTTACCAGAACCGGTTTGCGCAAGTCCAATTACATCTTTCCCTGAAGAAGACATCAACACATTAGATTCAATCAATTGAATGATAAACCAGGATAATCAACAACAAATTCACGCTTATTCAATCTCGCAAAGACCTAAACACAGAACTAAGTGCATCAAAAGCAAAATGAATTCATAAAAACACGATTGCATTGAAGAATCTCCCAAAAACCTACCTTCAAGAGCATAAGGAAGGGCTTCGGCTTGAATTTTCGAAGGGTTCTTCCATCCCAATCTATCGCAAGCCTTCACAAGTTCTTCACGCAGACCAAGTTCTGCAAACGTCTTCTCCACTTCGTTCTCTTCCTCCATTTCCAAATACCCAACAAAGAAATTCGCTCTCTTTACCTCTCTGGACCTCAAATACGGCGCGGGAATCAAAGATCCTGAAGGGCAATCGCTTGTATAAGAACTCCCGAGACAAACCGCCGTGGAAGAATTAGGGTTTTAGCACAATCGAGAAAGAGTGGTAAGAGCTTTTTTTTAAGGGTTTTCGTTTATATTGTAGCCTTATTAGGCCTGTTATGGGGCTTCATGGCACAAATGTTAGGCCCATCAAATTTATATAGATTCAAACACAAAGAAGATCACTTGCAAGTCCCAAGCAGATAAAAATTACTTAAGGAATCATCTTTAATCCAAATCAAAGATGATTAAAACTCTAATTATATAAACTGCAGAAAGGGTTAAATATAACAAGCAAAGTTTGAGAGATTTTTTAAGAGATTCCTAACATGAGAACTAATGAGATGCTTGGCTCTTCTTGGAGATGCCTTCGAGCAACAATCTTGTTTCAGCAGCAAAGTCAATTGGAGCGACTCCTTTCACAGTTACCCTCTGCCTCTTCTCACCATTATACTCATTCTGAGTGACACTAACACGGAAGATATGAGATGACCAGGTTGCTTCTTTCAGTTTTGTCTGAAATTCATTTGTTTCACCTCCCTGGATACAAATATTAGACAACATGGAAATGTTCAGTATGGCTCTATGTTCTTATAATAGCTTTTATAGGGTTTTATTTCCTTATTACCTCTGATCTTAGTTTGTTGAGCTCATCAGCTGAACATCCAATAATCTTCTCTGCTTCGTCGTTGAATGAGGAAAACCAAGTTTCTCCTGTTGAGTCAGAGACTTTCACCACCATTATGTACCTGCCAACACCCAAAAGTGGACACAAGTAAGATGTCTGAAAATGGAAGAAAAAACTTTCTAGCAAGTTTTGATATATGAATCTGAGTTATCTCACCTTAAGCTGCATTCTTCATCTTTTTTCTGGCAGCCTTCACACCAGTAACCAGAGTCCATTGCTTCAGTCACTTTCTTGTTACAAGTCTTACAAGCTTGGTACCACATTGTCTGGTCTGGTTTGATGAAGCTTATGTAACCCCTAGTGCTGAAAAATACAGGCTGCAACAGAAATACAATTTCACAATAAGTTCATAACTCTACATTTAAGCAATTTACGTCCAAGACTGGAATACAGTGTGTGTTTTAGTACCTTTTCCTCGCCAAGAGATGGGTTACTTGTGATGTGTGAGAGAACGACTCGGTCAGTATACATAGACCGAGATCCATTCTTCGCAGATGGGCTCATCCCTGAGCCAATGGAAGACATGGATGTTTCCTTGCCTTCAGAATCATACCTGCAAAAGTCAAAGAGAACGAAAATTCAATAAACACAGAAACGTTTCATCATTTTATTTTACCAACCGACTCAATCGAAAAGGCGTACCAAGATTTCAACTTTTTAGCTTCAGGTGATTCAGGATTTATCACCACGTTGCTTCTGCTGATGGTGGACAAAGAAACACCTGGAGAGATTGGCTTAAATCAGCAAACAGGTTTAAAGAAGGGTGAATTGGGCATATATTTCAATCATAACAAACCCAAGATTACCTTGAAAATCTCCAACTTTGAGAGACTTGATTGCGATTACAGGGGACTTATCAGCCATGTCTAGCAGTTCTTGACCAATGCCAGTTGCCAGGTCATTCCACAGCGACACCACAACAGTTTTCTTTGACTCATCAGCCAAAGTTATGTCTCTCTTAGGGATCATCTCATTGTCGGTTTTCCTTCTAATACTCATGGTAGGAGAAACACTTTGAACAACTCCAATAAGATCTGGAAATAACATAAACATTTAAGTTGTTATCATCCTAAACCGATGTATAATGCCACAAGAAGACGGATGTTTAATGAGGAAAAAAGGCTCTTACCAATAAGCTCCTTCTGATTAACATACATACCCAACTCTTCAATAGGTACAAAGTTGAATTTTCTCTCAGGGACGAACATTTCTTCATTACTAGCTTCCTCAACCTCTGAATTTTCATTCAGAGTCATCTCATAATCATTCTGAACTGTCTTGAACTGCTTGTTAGCAAGCTTAAGCAATCCCCTCGATATATAATAGACCTTTCCCAATTGGAACCTTTCATAGAACTTCCGTGCAGCATCATTGAACATCGTTGCTTGAATTTGTGTTCCCTGGATTACACCAAAATTAACAAAAATGAGTAACTACGTAGAAAGTCTATACCAAGTTTGAGATATCATAAAAGTGCTAGAGCTTTCTTACTTCTTCATCTGTTAGTTCCACATTGAAGACACATCCTTCTCCTCTAGCGTTTTTGTAATTTCTCATGACTCCTTTGTTAGTGACTCGGACTTTGATGGTCCAGCTTCCTTGATAGGGATTCAAGGATACAAGTGGATGAACCCTTCTAGTCATGGCCATTCTTGCAGCTGGTGCAGCACTGCAAAAACCAAAAAGGGATTAAGCAAACACTCTCAATCTTTTAACAAATGAAACATTCAAAGACCAAAAGGAGAATTTGCTTACTTTCCCCTCTGTTCACTCATTATCTGAGAAGCTGATTTAGCAACAAATTCCTGCTTTGGCTTCAAAGTAATACCAGTTGAAACATCGATTTTAGCATCATCATTCGCAGGAGAATGCTCTAGCTTCTGCTTCTTGAGCTCAGGAGCTTCCTCGTCACTCTTACTCTCTAAGTTAATCTCTGAATCAAGCGCAGGAGCAACAGCTTCACATTTTGTCACAAGAAAATACCTGCAGGACAGTAACACAAATGAATTAGTAACTGCTGATTCAAGAACCAAAGAGAAACATGTAAAGAAGCAAAAAAGAGATTGTTACTTTGTTGATTTGCTTGAAATGTCATTCACCATGAAATCAATGAGACGTATCAAACCCAGATTTTGAATGTTTCCAGAAATGATTTCAGGTGCTATTGACGCAGTAAACATTGCTTTGACTCTAGTCTTCCCATCATTTGCATTAAATCTGTAAAACCAGAATCAGGTCAAATCCCAGAACTAGATCCATCAGAACAAGAACCCAGTACAATATCAGATCGGTAACTAGAACACGAAACTGGGGATTAACAACAAAAACAAAAACTCTTTCCAAAAACCCAGATCTCTATCGTAAAGCTATAATCGGATATGAGACGGAATTGAATCTGAACATCGTGATTGATAGAATGAACGCAAAGAACCTAGAGTCGGAACAAGCGAGATCAAATAAAAGACAAGAACGAAACTCACGTATATCGATTGCCGATAGGTTTGAGATCTACAACTTGAACGACGATTTCAGGTCGATCGGAGGAAGAATCGAAGGATGGGTTCGACAATACGGAGGAAATAGCATCTGGGGTCACGGAAGTCGCCATTTTAATTTGTCTTTAGGGTTGTATTGAAATGGAAGATGAAAAGATGTGTGAGATGAATGGAGGTGAAAGGAAGGAAGGGCAAAGGGTTTTTGTAAACACAAAAGAGTTTGAGCGGGAGCTATTAAATTCGATTAATTACTCCCGCTGGTTTTTTCTTTTGATTGAATTTTCAATATTTTTTTGGCCAAAACCGCTTCTTTTTGCCGCCTCATTAAATTCTGTAAACCTTCGGATACACCGAGAAGTTTTGACATCTTAATTCTAAAAAAAAAATTTCAAAAAATGCAATTTTTCAAATAACATTTTACAAAAATGTCACACTTTTAAAATCTTTACAAAAATGTCACTTTTTCAAAAAAAAAAATTTTATATTATTTATATTAGGGTTAATTATGTTATATTAGGGTTTAGAGGTCAAAACATTTTTTAATGTTTAGAATTTTAAGATATAAAGTTTAAAAATCTATAATTAGTGGCATTTTTGTAAATGAACCCCCTAAGTGGCATTTTTGCAAATGTGCACATCAAAAGTGGTATTTTTGCAATTTTTCCATTCTAAAAAGAAAAACATTTTTTTTAACATACGACTTCTTTTATTAAATTAATAACTAGAATAGGATCTGCGTTAATACGCGGTTAAATACAGTAAAAATTATTAAAATTAATATTTAAATTTTAATTAGTACCCCGTTGAATTTTAAAATATTATTTTACGTAGATCCTAAAATCAGTATAAGTCAATTTATATCATAATTATCAAGTTCTAATCCATATCATACAAATCCAAAACTATATATAGTCGGAATTCAAATCATATTTTTAATAATAGAAAAAAATATATATATATTTTAACCCATTATGAATATTTATGAATTCTATGATAGAAAATAAAAATAACTAAAAAACTACATAGTTAAATCAAAAAAAGTAAATTTTATTTTAGTAACCTCATAAAAACAATTAATAATGTTGTGAGCCATCACATAAATACATGAATGATAAATGTATTTTATTAATGTTACCGTTTTAATTCACATAGAAATTTATGCTCGCCAAAATTTATACAGTATTAATTTAATAGTAAATATAATATTATTATTATTTAGTATATATAAATTTTCAATATATACACTTGGAGAGTACCACCGGCGTAATAGGTCAAAAAATTTAAATTTTTTTATGATATTCTATAACTCTATATTGATAAAATAAATATTCTTTTAAATTTTATTTTTTGGCATAGTTGTGTATATCTTTAAACTTTTAATTGAGGTTTCTCTAACCTTTTTTAATTCTTTTCCCAATTAATATACCTTCTCTTTTTATCATTCATCTTTTTATTTATTTTAATTGATATTTTTATTTTGTATGTAGTATTTTTATAATTCATCTTAATTTTTTTTCCTTAGTTAGTATGGATAATATTAGAAGTTTTAAATTTTATTATTTGATTAATAACTTGATAATTACTTTCTATTTTAAATTTCATTTTTATTAATACAAAATAAAAATGTCAATTAAAATAAATATTACTTTTCATTTTAAATTTTATTTTTCTTAATTAATTTTAAGTTTTAACTCTTTCATCATTTGATCAAATATTAGATACATGTTACGATCTTGTGAGTTATAATTTTGCTTGGGTGTCATGCTTATATAAAATAAATTGCGATAAATACTTTTGATTTTAAAATTTATAACGCCTAATTTGAGAAATATAT